ATTTTTGCATGCCAGCCTTTTTTTATGAAATTGCAATGTTCGCTTTAAACCTCTAGATTAAAAGATTTCCTTTAGAAAATTTCTCCCATTTTTAGGTTTAAAACACATGATAAGTCGGAAAATATAATAATTGATTTCAAAACTGGGCAAAAATCTTCTTAATATCAGGATTTTTGAATAGAGCTTTTTCTGGTGAAAGATTTTTTCTCATTCCTTAAACAAAAAAAAACGACAAAAAATAACAAATAGCGGCGCCCAGTGTTGTTGTCTTTATTCCTGTTTGTTTGAGAATTGAATTGGCTTTAATGCTGCATTTATAAAAGCCACTTATAGACATTCTATTAGATGCACCAGCCAGTTGATGTTAAAAATCAAGTTGAGTTTATTCTGCAAAATATTCGTATCATTTGATGCGAATGCGAATGTGTAAAATTATGCGAATCATTAGCATAACGAATGCGAGTGCAAATATTCGCAACATCCCTAGTACATTCTACATTCCTCTAATTTTTCTTTGATTTTTTTTTCTTTGTGCGATGCGGATTAGTTCACATAGGAGTAGCGTCGTAAAGTAAGAATAAAAAATAAGTGGATAAATAAATATATTATGACATTTCAATAAACAAACAAAATCAAAATGGTAGCGCTTTGCATTCGAAGCAGGGGTCAGTTGAATGCGTTGAGTGATGCGAAACGAACTTCCGAGTGGTATAGAAATATTTAATGAGGAACTGAATTCAAATGCCTAGTCTGATCTTGAGTAACATGGAATAAGTTATGAGAACGGGATAATAATAATAATATATTATGTATAAATAGGCAAACATGTCTTCCTCACACCCTTTCTACAGCTAAACGTAAACTTCTGATAAAGATAGCCGTGTTGTAACATCGTTGTTATTCAACGCATTTCACCACAGCTTTCTTGAAATCACGTTAACTCGCCGCATCTCATCTCAACTAACCTCACATTATCTCCTCTCACTTAATTTCAACTCTTCTAACTCAAGGCATTTCGTCTTAACTCAACTCACCATAGAGGTGCGAAACTATCGATGGCACTATCGATGAATGGTAGCCACTATCGCGATACTATCAATAACAAAAAATGGTGAAGCCAAAAACTATCGATAAGATCGAATGGTCCAACCATCGACAGTTTAAAACAGCGGGCCCTTAGGGTCTCCAACAGAATCTGGAAGAATAATAGGCAAGAAATAATTAAGCGAGTTTCTTACGCGAACGATCTAGGCGGTTGAAAACTAATTCGCTAAGCACATCCCTTTTTCCCTATTGTTTTATGGGCAACTGTGCAATCCTTTCCTATCCAATCTAACCGAATCTAATCTAATCGAATTGAATCGAATCTAATGTAATTGAATCTAATTTAATCGAAACAAATTTAATCGAAACAAATTTAATCTAAATTCATCAAATCTCATCTAGTCAAATATCATCTAATCTAATCTGGTCTACTCTAGTCCAATCCAATCAAATTAGTCTAATTTAATCAGATCCAATTTACTCTAATTTAATCTAGTTAAATCTAGTCTAATCTAATTTAATCCAATCTAATCTAGTCTAATTGAATCTAATCTAATCCAAACCTTTCTTACTTTAGGTAAAAGTTTTAAGAATATGCGAGTATTTTCAGAAGTAGCTTTCAAGTGCCAGGTCACTATTTGGTTTGTTTTGAGAATAAATACACAGCGTACGAGATGTCATCTGTCTAGTATTTACTACGCCAGAGTTGGATAATTTAGGCTTGAGTTATCGGCTCTAAATTCACTTTAGGTTAATAGGGCCACTTGACTCATTTGCAAAAAAAAAAAAAACTTCAAAAAGCTCACTATTTTGCGCATTTTAGCAAACTTTTGCTACCCAGAATAAGATAAACTCTCCCTTGCCAAAGTTCCGCTTTGATTTCAAAAGGGGTCTAAACAATTATTTAAGAGAGAATCAATATGTAGTTGTATGAAGTCTCGCATAGCAAAAATGGTATTTTTAACAATATTATTTTTAGTAATATTTCAAAAGTAAACAAAAACTTATCTGTGTAAACAGAATCCTACATAAACCTTTTCTGGCTCAATGGCTAACTAAGATTTTAGAGGTCAATTTGTACAAAGTTAACAATTACAATTTCCGAAGCTTAAAAGTTGGCCAAAATCTTTAGAGTTTGCCGTAGGAAATAATCAAACTGCTGTGCTTCATACATACATACAAACATATGTATGCAGATGTGTGCATATACATAAATACTAGGAAGTTGAGGGAGAAATTCACTGTGGTGGGACGATGAAAATACTGCAGGCGACCAAAAAGGCTAAGGCATTTCCTAAAATTTCAAGTGTAAACAGCAAATAAAAGGATTTGTAATTGATGCCTTGAGCTATATAATGTTACTTTTAGACTTTAATTGTTAGTTGATATGTATGATAGCGCAACCAACAAAACACAAACATAGTAGAAATTAAATAGTGTTTTGATTGGGATTTGTGTGTTGTGATTTTGTGGATTATTTTTCAATGAATAGAAAAGGTTTCATTTACACATTTATTGAAATTCTTTGTCCAAAACATATGTATGTATGTACAAATGTGTGTGTATATAGATACATCAATAATTAATTGCTGGGTGTGAGAAGGTAGCCATGGCTATTAAAAGATATGTATTTAGTAAAAGGAATTGCTTACGGCTACATACGAACGGGTATGCCGAAAAGTGCCATATCCTTTCTATAAAGAAAAGCCATCCTATATCCAATTGCTAAATGAGCGAAAATTAAACGATATAGAAAGAAAAGACGGTAGTACACACGTCGCTTTAGGCGGAAGAAGAGAGAGGCAAAAATATGAAGAGATTGACTTGTTGGCCGGTCCGAGAGTTCCATCAGAAAAGTAAGTAGAAATTAAATAATTTCAAAGCTAATGCAGAAACGAAGAAATAAATTCGGTTGTAAACATCCAGAGTAAATTGGATTTATTTATGACGCCAACACACAAATTTAAAGGAACGAAGCTTACATAGCTCCTCTAGACTATGATGAGTTAAGGAGAGTAATAAGACGGCTTAAAAACACTAGAATCTCCGAAGCCAATGTACTACCGGGTGATCTGCTCAAACCCGGTAAACTCTCTTGCCTTGGTTCGCGGTCATAGCCACGCCGAAGAAAATGGTAGAGCGGATGAACTAGTCAAGCCCGCAGCTCATTTGGATGAAACTACAGCGCACAGTGGTTCAAAACTGGAATTTAATGATCATAAAGCACTTTGATTCATTTTTTTTATAAATGAAAGCTTATAAAATTATCAAGAGACCAGTTGAGCCCGCTTTTTGAATTTTTATATGTTTACCAAAATCAATTTTTTTCCTTGGAAGGTGCAAATGTGAAGTAGAAAATTTTCTAAGAACTAAAAGAAAAATTAGAATTTGGTAAAATTTTTTTTTATACATTTAAATCTTTTTTGAAGTTTTTTCGTTTTGGGGAAACACTACAATTGTTTTTAACCAGTTTTTATTAAATATGTAACATTTATTAATAACTGGAAAATGAGAATCGATTTTCTTCAAAATTGCTACTTTTCTGCAAATTTAAAACAAGAAAATTTCAAAAAAGGATTTCACTTGAGGCTCCACGCACGGGCTTTTGCAATTAAAGTAAACGATTAATATTTTACAGGCTTGTTGTTGACCTCATGATGCAATATATTTTCTCTTTTACCAAAGAATTTAAGAAATATTAAATTTTCGACCCGCCCTAGTATACATATATTAAAAAAAGAAAATAAAATATATAAATAAAAAAAATAAAAAAAATTTTAGCAATCGCTCCGACCGAGGATCGAACCTGGGTTCTGCTATCGCGAACGCCAAACACTTTAAGTTTTTTGCTTACTTGTACAATAGACACCAGCTGGTCGTTTGGGCAAGTTTTGTTATCGTACTCATTCCGTATCAAGAAAATAATTTTTTTATTTTCACTTTTATTTCAACATAGATTGATAGATAGAAAAATAATTTGTTGAAATTTTTAAATAGAAGAATGCAGAATTGTATCATTTTTTTGACTACAAAAAAAAATCACCCAATTTTTTAATTTTGTACCAATAGCCCAACATAAAAATGCACAAATCTGTACAAATGTAGCAATTGAGTGACACTGCCTTAAATAATTATGCAATAAAAAAAAAAACAAAAAATTAAAAATTTTCGTAAAGATTACGAGTTTTTAATTAGATACCGAGTATGCAGTTTTGTAGCTGATTGAATTCTAGTACAATAAAGTACAAGTTTCAAATGGCTAAAAATTACGGTTAATTTTTTAGAATTCTTAAAGAAGCTCGAAATGTGTACGAAAGTTTGTTGAATTTTTTTAAGTTGCAAACTTCGATTTCCACGGGTTTTGTTAAAGAATGAATAATATTTTTATTTTATGAAAAAAACACCTATAGGACACCTATAATCCAAACCAAGTCGGTATCCTTTCCAGTAATGTATTCTGCGTATTTCCCCCTTCCCAATTTTGTCTGTCACTGCCAATTAGTCCTCTGCAACACAATAAAATCCAACTTTCATAACTCCCCTATTATTCTATATTTCATTGTTAAATTCCATTTTATTGTAGCCCCTTGAAAACCATTTACAGCCATTTAAAGCTGGCATAAATTCTCTAGATTTCCACTAATCTGTCGACAAAGTTTGCTGTCCTCCCTCAAATTGCAACCTTTAATCTCATAAGCAAATTCATTTGTGCCATTTGAGTGGCAGAGGCTGTGGTTATAAATAAATATTTGTTGGTAATCAAATTCTGCTTGGTATTATTCCAATCATACAAATACGCACATTTTTTTTTTGCTCATTATTTTTTGTTTATTTTTTCACTTTAACACCTGCAAGCAACCTGACCGCACGAAATTCCTGTACACACACACACACGTGCAAATTGCATAGCAGCCACAAAATTCTTGTTCGCTTTCATTTAATTCATACTCACTCACCTCTTCGGGATTATTGCTGAACATCGTGGTTGATTCGACGCCCGCCCGACTTTTGCTATCCACGTTACTACTACTGAATTCGGTGTCCTCTACAGTGTTCACTGTATTAGTTGAGTTGCCCTCGACCAAGCCAAGTGTTGTTTGGCCCGCGGCGCCGGTATGAGGTGTTGCAAATTTACCAATACGTAACCTGAGACGTTTGCGTTTCTTCTGCGCTGACAAATCGGGCTGCAATGGGGATAAAAAACAAACACACACATATATATATACTCACAATAAGAGACACATAAATACATACAGCAAATAGAAAAAATAAATAAAACCGAGAAATCAGTTAAGTGGTTAACAGGAAACAGAAAAGTGAAATCAAAGTGCTTTAAAGCACACCGGTAGCAGTCAATAGTCATATATAGTACATATATTTTATTGTTTGTGTGTTTGTATATGTGTTTAAGTGGACGGGGATAGTTGATTTGAGTGTGTGCAAATATTCCCAAAAAGGATCGTAAAATTGTCAAAAATACGAGCCAATCTGGCAACAAATTGATAAGAAATTCTGTCAGTTTTATATACGGTGGACAAATGAAAATCAAGCAACAACCCATCAAACTAAAGTTGATGCTTCACTTTAATCCTGACCCCACTTAACTCTGCTTCCTCTTTGCACACTCTTATTTGACCACGCTACACTTCATTGCTTGTCCACTTGCTGCAGGTAAGTGTAAGCTGCAACCTTCTTTACTCATGCGATAAGCGAAGAGTTTCGAAGTGCTTCAGCATTGCTTGGATTGGTTGGGTAGCGAGGGCGCACAGTGGTGCAAAAGCGAAATTTACTATTCAAAAAGGACTATAGTGCAATTCTTGAAGTACATACTCAACCTTTTTTAAATTGAAAGATAATTAAATTTTAAGTGTCTTAAGTACTTATTTTTATAAATTTATTTTATTTTCATACATAGTTTTTTTTTTGTTTAACAGAGTTAAGAAACACATTCCGCAGCAGAATATTTTTTTTGTAAATACATACATATATATGTATATTCTCTATAAAATAAATCTAAAATTTTCCCTTTTTTGCAGAAAAATATTTTTTTTACATAAATATCTTTGTAAATATCTCGAAGCGTGTAGCTTAACGCAAAATGAATTAAAAACAAAACATAGCAAACTGAACTAGCTTTTTTTCGTACATCACTGGTTTTAATCGTTTAACGAAATCTCCAGACTTTAGAAACTTTTATGAAATACTTTTTTATTTAATCAAAAACCCTTAACTTTGATACAAAATAAGGTCGGCTAAAATCCTCGACTGAATCCACCGCGATGGTGGCGGCTAGAAATGGCTACTACAGAGTGAGCCTGTGCGATGTCAGGACGTTATCCATCTAAGATCAGGGGCCAGTGCTCTGTGCTTAGGCTCCTTAATAGCTTTGCTAGATGGAAACCATCCTTAACCATGGCTGTGAGGTTAATTTAAAGGAGCTGGATCAAGGTGTGACGCGCTGCCGTGCTGATGATCGGCGAGGCTGGGGCCACAAAATCGGTCAGTCGTTAGAGGAGCCTTTCCGACAACGGGTCGCCTGCTGAAGTAACGATAGCCTTACCTTTGGCAAGGGGCACTACTACGGCGGACAATGCATTTTAACACAATATATTTTAAAATCTGCGTCCGGCTCGTCGGGCAGGTGATCGTACGAATAAGATGAACAACAACAAAAATAAAGATAAAACAAAAAAAGAATAGGAGAAGAAGAAAGAAAGTCGAATCGCTCACAAGAGTCCCTAGGGGAAAAGCGATCAACAAATGAGATAGTGACGAGAGCAGCGTGTGCACCGTGAGGTGTGCCAGTGAGAGCGCGCAGAGATGTGAAGACGGCAGAAAGTAGGCACGTGCGAAATAAAGAGTGGGGACTGCAATACCAAGCGGCAGTGGTAATCCAGTTCCTGAGAGCCGCCTTTGACCCGAAACACCGTGGGAGCGAGCGGTTAGCTTGTGCCCGAGAGATTATAAGGTCAGGGCGTGCACAGTTTGATGACGAATGTTTTGATGAAAAATTTGAAGGTACCCTAACAGAATATAGTAGAAGCACGCCAGAGGCGAGTCTAAAAGGCAGCGCGTTCCTGGAAAACGAGAAGGCGGCTATCAAACGACAGAAAAACTCCGCATACAGCGATAAACCGCTACTCCCAGACAGGACAAAAGAGAACAACGACTGACCGTCGACTTCGAATACGGCAATGTTAAAGATCAGCGGTCCAGCTGAGAAAGCCGAGTGCAAAGATAGAGTCCCAGGTACCGTGATATTAAGCGAGGTAGCCAAGCAAGCCTGAGAGCAGTTCATAAATTCAAAAATGACTAACTCGAATTAATTCAGATAAATCTTTTAAGATAGAATTAGGACGTCCAGGCGACTGGAAAATTTAGAGGACCAGGAAATGGCCAACAACCACCCAATAATAACCCTTAAAAGGACCAAGGGTAAAAACCAGACCACTTTGGTGGAACCTCGAGTTGGGAACAATCAGAAGGCACGTCAGTGAACTATTTAGGTTAGAGAAGTAAACTACATAATGTTGGGATTGTACTTCATGGGATGGGACTTCAGAAGATCGATAGTATCTTTCAAAAAAATTACAGTAAGTGGATGCCAACATTTAATACCCACCGCAAGTACCTATTAAGATACCGCTACATGGTATCTTCGATAGAACGTTCAGTTAGACATAATGATATAAATTTATATAGTTACTAGCGTACCCGGCGAACTTCGTCTCGCCCAAAATACATTTTTTGTTGGAACTTTTTGGTACTAAACTTTCACCATTATTCACTTAATGACCTCCAGTGGTACATTTATCTGCTCTGATTATGGTTTTGTGGTCGTCAGAAAGTATATCTTCCATTGCCATTTTAAATAACCTAAACGAAGCGTTGTGTCCGTGATGAAGTACTTGCAATTTTCCAATGATTTGGCGTTTAATCGCACAGTAAATCGCACAACACTGATCGATTTCGATATCCGAGTTGTCAACGAAATAAATTTGTTTCAGTTGTTAAGGTGCTTGTTCGTCATGAGGTCGTCCTGCATAACTTGGGCGCGTTGCTGAGGTTTTTGATTTGCACTGTTAAACTCTAATCTTTGTAAATTGCGGTTGCATGAGGCAATGTTTCATAAATTAATCGGCGAATAGTTTACGAATACTGAAAGTACAATGTCGAAAAATTCAAATTATCTTCGAAGGAATCGAAGGATAGGAAGGCATAGGAAGGGAGGGATAGGAAGGCATTGAATGGGATTGGAAGTTACAGGAAGGAATACAAAGGCAGTGGAAGGGATAGAAAAGCATTGGAAAGAATGAGGAGGTATTGGAAGGAATAGGAACACATTGGAAAGGATAGAAAGGCATTGGAAGGGATAGGAAGGTATTAGAAGGGATAATAAGGCATTGGAAGGTGTAGAAAGGCATTGGAAGGGATAGGAAGGCATTGGAAGGGATAGGAAAGCTTTGGAAGTGATAGAATTGCATTCGAAGGGATACGAACGCATTGGAAGGGATAGGAACGCATTGAAAGGGATAGGAAGGTATTGGAACGGATGAGAAGGCATTCGAATACGACGGCATTGGAAGAAATGCTGTCTTTCTATGCATACTTACAGGACGTTAGAATAAGCGGTTCCAGAACGAAGCGATTTGAGAAGTTCAATTTTCAAGGGAGGTGCTTATGCCCCCTTTTCCAATACCTGCCACTTGTCGCCAAAAGTACGGTATTGGTAACATAAGCAGCTGTATAAAATTGCAGGACCTCAGCATAAGCGGTTCCAAAGATAAGCGATATGAGAAGCTCAATTTGTTCGTTTGGTAAGGCATAGCGGTCATGCGAAAGACATTTCAATTTTATGTGTACATATATTATATCCTTCTCTCAGTGTTAGGAATATCCCGACCCCAGCGCCACCTAGCGAGCAAATCGGTCCAGCCGTTTAGCAGTTTAGTGACATACAATATACAGAAAACTCTATGGAATTCTCTTCTTTTTTTGGCAACAACGATAAAAAGTTTTGATTTTTTTTTAATCGGAAAACCTTCCACACAGAAGGTCCAGAAAAGTACTTTTTACATAATTGAAATCGGTTCAACCGTTTGGTCAGGCATCGCCGTCATACGGAAAACATTTAATTTTTGTATATATTGAAGAAAAGAAAGAAGATGTAAACATTTGGCTATATCTATCGCGCTTCCTTTTGGCTGTTACAAACAACCGTTATGCGAATAAAGTTACATATAATACCCTTGTGCACCAGTGCGCTCGGGTATAAAAAATTGTATGTTTTTTTTTTTTAATCCCCTACTTGTTTAGCAATAATTATTTTTTTTTAGCCAAAAAATTTGTCAAATTTCCCATAGTGCACTTTGGGGCGGTCATAAACTGAAGTGGGTATCATTTGGCTTCGTGTTTGCTGCTGCTTAAAAATTTAAATTGGTTTCGAGTTGTCCTCTTTATGGCTAAATAATCCACAATTTGCTTGAAAATGAAATTTCACATTTTGGCATTTTCTTTATTTGCCGCACTTCTATACTTAGCTCTGCTTACCGTACTTACAACTACCTTTCTAAGTTTTTCGCCAATATACAATAAGCATATACTTATGTGCGTATGTGTTGGTGTCCTTGTAGCAGCAGCTTTTGTGATGCAGCTTATGCATCCGTTCAATGCTACCCATTTACAAAGGGAATGGAAGGTACTACAATTGTAGTGGGTGGTGGTCATTTGTAAATATTTATATTTTATACAAACAATGTGTTTGCTATGTGGTTCGATGTGAAATAATTGGCAAGTGGTCTTTACTGTGCTTACCTTTACCAAACTGGTTAGTAGTAACTAGTAGATCTTTTCTTTCTTTAGCACACACAGCAATTATTGTCAAAACACAACCTTCTGATTTCGTTGCCAAAAGGCAAGTTTCGAAGCTAATATCGGGTTCAAAATTAGTGTGTACAATATTATTCGGCTTTATGCCACTATTAAATACTTTTTTTTTGAAAAATTGGGAAAAGCAACAAAATCTTAGCGGCAGTAGTTTCTAGACTTCAGCAGGAATCGAACCCGCATCATCGACGTGCAACGCCAGCATGTTTACCACTGAGCTAATTTCTCTTTCCTTTCTAGAAATGTTGTCCTTTAACCTGCTACATATAATTTTCAGAAAGTAACTGCACCAAAGTCA